ACAGAAACCTCCAGCAGAAAGAATGTAAAATTACAGCATGCCCACAGATGCTGTCTCAATGAGAGCATAGAAAGAATGCCCCAGTTACAAGCAATCCAAACTTCCTATGGATCTAACATGAGACTGGCAAGACAGAACCAAGGATGCAGAAAGAGATGTCTCAGCGGGTGAAGTGTTTGCCCTGAAAGCTGAGGACCTGGGTTTGGACACCTAGCACTCATGTAAAAGCTGGACACTGTTGGCTTCCCTGGGACCCCAGGACTGGCTAGAATGTGGGGAAGGGGACCAGGACAGGCAGACTCCTGGAGTTAGCTGGCCAGCCAGTCTAGCTAATCAGCAAGCTCCAAGTCAGATGAGAGATCCTGTCTCAAGACAGAGACAGAGAATGCTAGAATAAGATGCCTTACGTCGGCCTTTGCCCACTCCCAAACATGTATATACACTGTGACACATACGCACACAAAGAAAAGCAAGGCCTGGAAAGCCCTGGGTTCAATTTCTACCCCTGGGGCGGGACAGGGTGGGAGGAGACATACAACAAAACAAAACCCAACCAACCAAACAAACAAACAAAAAGACAACTCAACAGCAAGAATACAAAAGTCTGGTTAACCCATCATGGTTTGCCTACCATCCCTGAGATATGTGCTGTTTCTACATCCCCTGCACTCTCCCTGGTTCTTTCAGCCTGTTCAAGACACTCTGTGTCTGCATGCCAGCTGAATAATACATGCATGACTACTTAGTCTGGCTTGTCTCAAAATGCCAGAGGCTTTGACTCCTCAGCCTACACATTCTGGGGTCCTAAGACCAGGGTTGTAAATAGTTGTCTTGAGGTCTCCCTCTCAGCTCAGCAGGGGACCCACCAGTGCTGGCCCATGACCATCAGCCAGGCTTCTTGAGTCACTGTGAGTTGCAAGAGTCCTAACAATCGGTTCCTTGAATGTTGCTTTCTACTTTCCCAGTCCAGGGGGTTTACTTGAAGATGTCAGGGCCTGGGGCAAGAACAGTGACAGTGTTTTGTTCTGTGACTATCTCACAGGAAAGAAGAGCTCGTCTCCACCTGGGATGATGATACTGTTGTATAGTTCTACATATAGGGCTAAGCCCACACAGGCCACCTCAAGGGACTTGAAGTGGCCTTTTCCTTCTTTTCGAGGGGTTCTAAAGGTTCCAGAGAAGGAGATTATTATGCAACAGTTTCCTCCAAGATGGAAATATTCCATCCTTCTGGGAAGCTCTTTAAGCAGGGTGGTAGACAACTTAGAATAGCTTCAGGAAGTCCCTGAAATCGACCAGATTTACTGGGTCCCCTCCCTGCCAGAGTCAACAACAGAAACTGCAAAGAAACTCTCCGACAGCTTTAAGATTCAAAGAAGACTCTGAGACCAGACCAGCTACATGGAAGAAGCAGAAACCGGTGGAGTTGCCGGGAAGAGGTGTAGACCAACTGAGGCCCCTGGAAAGGACACTCTCCAACATATTGAGCTGCCTGCAGGCTGTGCAGTGTGCTCCAGGTCCCCAGCTTGTGTGAACTGTCACTCATGCTGGGGTGGGCTTTGGTGACGGAGCTGTCTGAGTCATTTCTGCTCCTGTGAGTCACCCTTCACCCATATTCCTGTAAGTAACCCCAATAAAACTCACTGGTTCACCAAGTTGGGATCCCTGTCTCGGGTGAGTAGATGTGTGTGATGTCTCCCCAGGAAAAGTTTAGTCACACAGCAGTCCCCAGGGCCATCTATCAAAGTTGCCTGCTTGGAACTGATTGTTCTGTGTTGTGGAATATTAGTTTAAAATGTGTTACATTCATTTACGCTGTGGAATATTTGTTTAATGATGCAAAGATGTGTTTATTCTTTTATGTTGCATTTGTTTAACTCTGTGAAGATGTGTTACTCTGCCTGTCTAAAACACCTGATTGGTCTAATAAAGAGCTGAACAGCGAGGCAGGAGAGAGAGAAATAGGCAGGCAGAGAGACTAATTAGGAGGAGAAATCTAGGCTCAGGGGTAGAGGAGTGAGAAAGAGGAGAGGAGGATGCCAGGCGCCAACCACTCAGCCACACAACCAAGCACAGAGTAAGAAGGAAAGAAAGGTATATAGAATAGAGAAAGGTAAAAGCCCAGAGGCAAAAGGTAGATGGAATAATTTAAGAAAAGCTGGCGAGAAACAAGCCAGGCTAAGGCCAGACATTCATAAATAGAATAAGTCTCCATGTATTTATTTGGGAGCTGGGCGGCAGGCCCCCAAAAAGTTTTAAAAAAAAATTACAGTTCTATGTGAATCCAGTGGACTTGGGATGGACATGGGTAGAACGCAGGTCTGAATGCCAGGCAAAACCCCCACCTTCACCAGGATGCTGCCCCTGCCTCTCAGCTGACATACAAGTCGGGGGGCCGTGGCAGGAAATGGGGTGTTCCTGATGTGTGACTGTGGGGACAGGCAGCTCACAGGTTTGCTGCCTGAGATGAGAGGCTCAGGGGGTGAGCAAGAGGGTGGTGAAGAGGAGCAACAGAGTGTAAACTCCATCTCTTTCCATGGTTACCAGGGCAAGAGGGGACACAGGTCCAGACAGAACTGTGACAGATGCATCTGTGTGGAGTATGTGATCGCACACACCAAACTTGTTGGAAGTCACTGCTCGGTTCTAATATCTGTTTATACACACACTGAAAGGACTAGGCTTCTGTTCCTCTGACATTGTGGTAGCCTGAAATAAAAAATAAAAAAAAAATCTAACCCAGAGAGACAGTAAATGCTTTCTTTTGTCTAGGGGATTTGGGAAGTGGAAATAAAAAGTATATATTACACAGTCATCAATTAAATAGAGGTTCGTGTAAGCGCCAGGTCAGGGAATATCCCAGTATCCAGAAGGAAGTTGGCTGGGTTTCCAGCTGGCGGCTGACATCAGGCTCAACTTCATGATTTGGACTGATGTTTTCTCTCTCTTTTATTTCTTCTTTTAGTGAAAAGGCAAGCCCCTCTGTGCTCAGCCTCTGTAAATTTTTAGAGCACTCTATTCTGAAGCCTCATGGTTCCTGTGAGGACTCACTAAGGGCATTCTAAACCCATAATCCCGGGCTGTAAAAAGGATCTGGGGGACTGATCAAAGGTGATCTGCCGGTTTATGACCTCTCCTTCAAGGCCCTTTTCCTTCTCTCTGACAGTTTTATAGAAGTCTTTCTTCTCAGCTTCATCTGGATCAAAGACTTTCGTTCGAGGGTCTCCTCAACTCCCACTTGCCGGGGAAGGAAGGGATTACCCCTGAATTAAAATCGTAAGTGAAGCGGGTTTACCCACCTGGGGAGTGGGGGAGACAGAGGGAAAAAGACCAAAGGACAGGACAGGGGTTAAGGTCTGGAGTGACCTTTCTCTGCCCCTGCAGCTTGCTCCCCTCCTACCTTCCCCCACCCCACCCCGGGTCCCGCCCCTCCTTCTCCCCCACTCCCTCTCATCCCCAGCTTTGGAACAGAAGGAAATTCTCTGATCTTTGGTGCCCAGTGTCAGTTAACATCCACAGGCTGCTACAAGTTTGTTTGTTTCTAAACCTCTCCATCTCTCCCTGCCCTTCTCTGTCCTAACCCTGAGAACGCCAGGCTGCAGTACCCACTGTTGGGGACACTGGAAGCTTCCGCTAAACCCCTGGAGTGAGGGCTCAGAGACCTGAACTGCAGCTGGGCTGGAGCCTCGGGATCCGGGCACAGCTGGGCTCACTCATTAACTCTTTCACGACTGCGACACCCCCTCCCCCGCTGACCTTCCCTTGGCACAGCAGGAGTTAGGTCCTGTTGGGGTGGGGCATGTCACGGAAGTTTCCTGGAAGGCTGGAACTGCCTTAGTCCTGGGGTGCTCTGTGTCCACCTCTGATGGGAAATGAGTGGGAGCAGAAGTGGCCATGAAGAGCCCCTGGCACAGGGAATTCTGGGTTCAGTTCCCTGACCCACACTCAGGCCAACTCAGCAGAGTAGACTCTCAAGGTGAGGGATGTTGACAGGAAGGACACACAAGTTCCCCCAAGTCATGAAATCTTATTTGAAGGAACTTGGAGCCTACCTAAGACATGCTCTGCCATGGTTTAGAAGAATCTATAAAAAAGCAAGATAAACCTTGTGCCCCAGAGTCTCATCCCAAGCAAGGAGGCCTGTGTGAGGTTCAGGGACCATCCTATAATCTCAGCGACTCAAGAAGGCTGAAGTAGGAGGGTCCTGAGTCTGGGGCCAGGCTGGCTACACAGCGAGAGTCTGTCTCCAAACAAACACTAAACATAAAGTAGTTAAACAAGAACAAAAACTAAAGAGAATAGGCCGGGGATTGGGACTTTCCTGGTAGAATGCTTGCCTAACATAGGAAGCATGGTGGTGGCGCATGCCTGTAATTCCAGTGCTCAGAAGGGAGGCAGGAAAATAAAAAGTTCAAGATCATCTTTGGTACATTGTGAGTGTTTGAGGCAAGCCAAGCCTGTGCTAGAACAGGAGACCTTGTCTCAATAAAAAAGAAAAAAGAAAGAGAAAGAAAGAAAAAGGAAGAAAGGAAAGAAGATGCCTTCTGCTCTACAGGGCAGCCTTCGGGAGTTCACAGTGGACTTGAACTCCTGGAGGCTTCGTTCCCTCTGAGACTGCTTGCCGGGGGTTTAAGGACAATAGATGTGAAGAGTTGCTTTGGGAGAGCTGCATCCCAGGCATACACCCCCAACTACAAGCTTTAGGGCCACATCGCTGCCCCACCCCCACCCCTTCCTGTGCATTCTGGCCCTATTAGGTGTCTCCACCCCGGTGCCCCAGTTTCTAATAAGAGCCTCTGCATCTCTCACATCCAGCTCCTCGCCGCTCTCCCTCTTCTGCACATGGACCCGGCCTGGAATGCATCCCACCTTCCTCTTCCTGCTCAAGCTCTCAGGCTGGTTCCCAGTCCCGCCTCTCTCTCCCCTAGGTCTTATCACCTACTGGGCACTGTTTGAAAAGGCTGCAGACCGGCAGGGTGGCCCCACCCTAGGACAACTTACCCGGCTTTGCATTCTAAGATGACAGTAGATCCCGTGTGTGCACAGGGCTGTGTTCTTAACTGGTGTTCCTTGAAGTGTGTTCCCAGGAACTACAACATCAACATTACCCAGATACGTGTTAGAAAAGCAAATTCTCTGACTCCACCCCCAGGCCTACTGATCTAGGAGCTCAAGAAGGGCAGTGGAGGTGGTATTTTAAGAAATAAAAATGGGGGCTGGAGTGATGGCTTAGTGGTTAAGAGCACTGCCTGCTCTTCCAAAGGACCCAGGTTCAATTCCCAGCACCCACCTGGCAGCTCACAACTGTCTGTAACTCCTGGTCCAGGGGATCTGGCACCCTCACACAGATATACATGAAGACAGAACACCAGTGAACATAAAAACAAAACAAAACAAAGCAAAACAAATCTGAAAACGGAGCAAAGAAACTAGGAAGGAAGGAAGGAAGGAAGGAAGGAAGGAAGGAAGGAAGGAAGGAAGGAAGGAAGGAAGGAAGGAAGGAAAGAAAGAGAAAGAAAGAAAGAA